TTAGGTAGATTTGATGGTGCTTGAAGAAAAGAATTTTAAAAATAAAGAATTTTTAAAAACTAATTAAAAAAATTTTCATACTATTGGCTTAAATGATGTAAAAGTATCTGGGAGCTTCTGATTCTCTCCTTGGAGGGAGGGTTGGTCCATAATGACATCCCTGTCATTATGTAGGCTCCTGGAGAACTACCCCCAGGCCCAAATTTTTGACAACCTTGAGAGTTTCCTTGTGAATCTGCTCCTGACCTAGATGATTAGGACTAAGCACTCAGGGACATTTCAAACTAATGGCATTTCTGGGCCCAGTTTTAACTATCTCAGCATTCTTTGAATAGTCAAATACATTTATATCTGATACCACTTCTGGCGCCTGTTACACAAATCCATTTGTCACATTTATTCCTAAGGGTGAAAAAGGCAGGGCAGGCCATGTTGATGCCAATAACAAGTGGTGGGATGTTGTACAGTGCCTACATATTGATTAAGTCAGACTGTGCCTTTTGTATCCAAAGCATTCACACATGATGCTTTCAAGTGATTTTTCCATTCAGGTTGCAAGTAACGAAATTCTCAGGGACCCATGCTTTCATCCCGGATATAAGAAGGTAGTGAACGTAAGTGACCTTTACAAGACCCCCTGCACCAAGAGATTTGAGATGACTCTTCCATTCCAGCAGTTTGAAATCCAGGGTATTGGAAACTATCAACAATGCCATCAAAGCGTCCTGGAGCTCTTCAACACCAGTTACTGCCCTTACTCCCAGTGTGCCTTCAATGGGATTTTCTTGCCACCACTCCAGGGGGATTTTGGGGTAAGTTTGTGAAATGATGAGGTATAGGATGTCTTGTTTACAAGTTATAGAATATGTGCCTACAAAGGATTTAAATAATAGGATGTATTGTTTTCTTACATAATGTCTTGAAGTAGATGATTAGGGGTTGGTTTTTCAGCTCAACTATGTCAGAACTTGGGATCAGCTTTTTCCACTATCTTTGTGATCTTTTTGTATTAAGGTATGTTACTGCTCCAAGCACCATATCACTAGGTCACTGCTTCCTTTTTGGCTCTAGGCAGCACCTTAAGCCCAGGTTCATCTCCATTCTAGTCAACAATAGGAGTACTGCCTTTCCGGAATGGGGGAGGTCCCAAAGAGGTTAGCCCCAGCAGTGTGGGAAAACTGACTAGGGGGTTGTGCCCAGGAGACCTTGTGGGACAGACCTCCTACAGCCACAGAACAGCCACTCTGATTTGCCATCTCCTTTGGCCAAGTGACATAGCAGAGTTCCCAGAGCTGGGGATGCTAAATCTGCCTCTCCCTTGTCTCTGCCTGTCCCCAGGGATGTTTCTCTCTTCAGGATGTCACGATGCTTACTGCGGGTTAAGACAAGGACAGGTTTCCTGCTAGGGAACCCAGGATGGTGGGGAAGCTGATTGTCCACCTTGATCTCACTTTTTCCAGTGTAGAAATTGTGAGTTTGGGGGAAATTTTTCACAAGCTTGGTGCCAGGCAGAATGGGAGGAGAGGTGACATGCCTGTGAAAGTTTGATTCTCTTCCCATCTGCTTGGAGTTTTTTCACTTGTTTGTGGCCCTGGGAACTGTCTCATCTTCATATTTGATTTCTGGGATATTGCTGGTGATCATCTCAGTGCTGTACGTTTGTTTCTGGTTTTCTGTGGTTGGGGAGCATGAAGCCAGCTTGCTTCCATGCCACCATTTTGGAATCAGACATCCAAGCATCATATTTTCTTTCACATGCAAAGCAAAAGCAGGAGAGACGTTTAAGGTTTGCCTTGCACACATCTCTTGCACACACATTTTGCAGAAGTGCCGACTGACATCTTTTCAGATCCTGCTGGCCAGAACTTGGTGAAATATATACTCTAAACCAATCTGTGCTAAAGAGAAATGGATCAATATGGTTAGTTTAGACTAATTATTGTTTATCACTTGAAGAGTCTTTTTTGAGCATATTGCTTTCCTCTACTTGGGTAAAATCAGGACTTCATAAGCAAGGAAGAAGGGGGCTAGCTATGGGGTATGCACCTGTTAAACAGTGTGCCATAGGTGGCTTCTCAAATGTCAGGAGGAGGAGCAGCAGTTAGATGACACGGCTGAGGGCTTTCCTCTATAAAGACATTTAGGAAGTAGAAACTCAGGAAATCCCAAAGAAACATTGAAGATAACATCATTGTCATTATGTTTTGAAGAGTTGGGGGATTATTTGAATCCTAGCTCCAAATTCCTTATTTTCTTAATAACGCCAGAATAAGATAAAATATTTGAGCAGAGGCAGAAGAGATGCCTCTTAATCGACTCAGTCTTCAAATTTCATATTTTGGTCCCAGAGGCTAAGCATTATTATAATCATAGTTTAGTAGCATATTGAAAAATTAGCTACCATCTGTCAAATGCCAATTATTGACTAAGCACTCTATGTATATTATCTCATTTATTCATTCAAGATATTCAGAGAAACAAGGCTTTTGCCTGCTTTCATGCTTTCTCTCTTTTAAGAAAACAGATCAGCATGTGGGAAGGGAGGTTCAGCTCCTCCCCTCCAGGACCCCAGCAAGAGAGTTTCTCCCAAGGTCACCTGGTCTGGCCCAAGACAAAGCTCTATGAAGAGAACATAGGCACTGTCCTAATCAGATCTGATTCTGCTTCTGGCTTCTTATGAACTGTATGAGTTCTTCATTTTCTTGGTCTCTGAGAAAACAATAGGTAATGCCATAGATCCAGGCTTACCTTAACTATGGTCCAAACCACAGCCTCCCCTCCCCTCAAGGTTCCTGAGGTAAATACATGGCAAGACAATGACTGGCAGAGTAATATTTGGTTATTAGTTGGCTGCAAACCCAAATTCAGAAGAAACTGAACCTCACTTGAATGCCCTGTGGCTGAGCTGGCACTGGCTGCTCACCTAGGACTGTTTTTGGGCCAGGGCCCTTGCCTTAGATTGAACTCCTTGAAGAGGAAGGAGGGTGTCACCTTGGCCAAGGGACTTTTTCATTCCAGTCACTGCAAGGATGTAAATCTAAAGTCAGTGAACATACTCTTGTGTCTTGAGTTTGTAACTTCTCAGAAAGTTTCACTTCCTGGGAAACATGGCCCAATTCCTGCCTTCAAGCTTGAGCAAACCTTTCCTCCTCAGGGGACTGGAATTTCTTGCCTTTGAATGTGATTCATCCAACCAAAGCAGGGAGAGGTAGGGGCTGGAAAAGGGTGGAGGAGTCTTGAACTCCCCCTGGAGGCTTTTCTGTTTGATCCCTTAGTTCCTCATTGAGATTGTTCTCCCAGCCTTCTGAACCTCAGTTTGGCAGTTCCTGAGACTATCTCATTGCCTACCTCTAAGTAGGATCTTTCTCCTCTGGATACAGCCCTCAGGGTCAGGACTGTCCTGTCCCTATTTCTGCATTGGCAGTTCCCTTCTGCTTCAGATTTTTGGTGTTTTTTGTTTTGTTTTGTTTTATGTCTTCTGTAATATACCCCTAAAACTTAAAGTCTTTTTGTCTGTTTCCTCATCTGTAAAACAGGGACAGAAATATCTACCTCGTTTATAGTTGTGAGCCAGACAAGCAGTGATGGTCTGGGAAATGTCTAACAACCAACTCTCGGGGAATGGGGAGCTGATTTGTAGCACTTACCAGTTTCCATGGTGTAAGCAGTTCTACCACAGCCTATTTCAAGCTATCAGCATATCAACTGGCTCACAAAAATCTGGAAATTTTAAGAATCAGCTCTTGTGGGTGCATGAGAAAGAGTCAGCTCCAGCACACCACTTTAAATAGCAAAAAGCTGGCATACCCCAGCACCGCCCTTAAAAAAGTTAGGTCTTTATCCTAGCAGTCTTCATTCTATGCTGTCCTTCCTGCAGGGAGTTCTTATTATTGAGTCCTGCCTCTTGAAGAGTAACTATGTGCAACACAGATATCCAGTTTCATTCCCATTATTTCCAGAACTAGTTAGCCTGGGTGTTCTCAAGCCACAGAGAATTTGTTGGGGAGAGAATTTTTGCCACAGTTGCATTCAGCACTGATGATCTGAGTCTTAGTCGGTAAATATAGTATTAAAAATTCTCAATGCTTTAGTCAGTCTGGCTACCCTGTAGCCTTGGTTGCTAAACAGAATCCAATGTTGTGGACAAATTAGAAACACTAACAAGAAAGAGGGAACGCCTGTAGGGAATTACTTATGAGGTAATTTAGAAATTATGTTTAAAGACCACATTGTGCTGTTTATATAAATAAGAAAGAGAATAAACAAGTTCAATAGGAAACTGGAATTAACGAACATTAAAAACATATTTGTTTACATATGCATACATAAATGTGTGTGTATATTTATATTTATGTTGGTGCAAAAGTAATTGTGGTTTCAGACCGTGAATTTTAAATCATTATAACTAGGCTGAAACACATCTTTATTAATCGTAATGGGAACCATTACAATCAACACATTTTTGCCAATGAGAAATAAGTTTATTTATTCCTGTAGCATAAAAATCTGTGCTTCAGTATTTGATGAACTCTTGGAAAGCATTTTCTGCACATCCTGCTGGTTGCGGAAGTGTTTTCCTTGCAAAAAGTTGTCGAGATGCTTGAAGAAGTGGTAGTCCGTTGGACAGCGATCAGGTGAATGTGGCAGATGAGGCAAAACTTCATAGCTCAATCTGTTCAACTTTTGAGGCATTGGTTGTGCGATGTGTGGTAGGGCATTGTCGTGGAGAAGAATTGCGCTCTTTCTGTTGACCGCTGCTGGCTGCAGGTGTGTTGCAGTTTTCGTTGCATGTCATTGATTTGCTGAGCATACTTCTCAGATGTAATGGTTTTGCCGGGATTCAGAAAGGTGTAGTGGATCACACTGGCAGCAGACCACCAAACAGTGACCATGACCCTTTTTTTGGTACAAGTTTGGCTTTGGGATGTACTTTGGAGTATCTTCTCGGTCCAACCACTGAGCTGGTTGTCACCAGTTGTCGTATAAAATACACTTTTCATTGTATGTCACAATCTGATTGAGAAATGGTTTGTTGTTGCACAGAATAAGAGATGACACTTCAAAATGACGATTTAAAAAAAATTTTGGTCAGCTCATGAGGCACCCATTCATCAAGCTTTTTCACCTTTCCAATTTGCTTCAAATGCTGAACAACTGTAGAATGGTCAATGTTGAGTTCTTCAGAAACTTCTCATGTAGTTGTAAGAGGATCAGCTTCGATGATTGCTCCCAGTTGGTCATTGTCAACTTCCGATGACCGACCTCTATGTGCCTCATCTTCAAGGCTCTTGTCTTCTTTGCAAAACTTCTTGAACCACCACTGCACTGTACATTTGTTAGCAGTTCCTGGGCCAAATGCATTGTTGATGTTGTGAGTTTTCTCTGCTACTTTACAACTCATTTTGAACTCGACTAAGAAAATCGCTCAGATTTGCTTTTTGCCTAACATTATTTCCATAATCTAAAATAAACATAAAATGAAAGGAAATAATAACTCATCAGCAAAAAGGCATAAAGAAAGAGATGCCCATTAAAATGATGTATAACATAACCACGTTTATTTAAGAATGTACTCCAGCATCAAAGGGCAAATTCCAACAATGCAAAAACCATGATTCCTTTTGCACGAACCTAATACGTACCCCTGGGTTATAGATACCAATCAAGTAAGGATTATCAAGTAAGGGTGACTTCTAGTATGGACATTAAGGAGCTCACCACAGATTTTGACTTCAGTGGTGCAGCATCTCATTGACATCTAAAGGCAAACTCAGGAATTCCTAGAGCTGAGTCAGTATTTCCCTCAAGAGTT